CCTGGTAATTTCCCTACTGAGCACCAGCAAGTAATTGGTGATTTGGATTGCTGGTTTGGTGGTTAAGGAGGGGTTTCCCATTTACTTTCTAGCAGAATTCAAGGGCCCCACATGGCCCCACCAATTAGGGAGACGCTGACATACAGTTGCACATGAGCCACTCGCTCAAAACGTGGGGTAGATGAAGGTTAAGGGACAAACCCAACCAGAAATAGATGCCTTCGTTGCCATGGTTCTGGGGAGTGCCCATTTAAACAATCTCTCGGAGGATTTCTGAAGCCGCGGAGATTCTCACTGCCGTGGTTCGAAGATCGCGAAATGGATGTGGGTCAAAATAGGTACCCAAAATGGCTTGCCCTGGCAAATGGAAACAAAGACTACACCCAGCGGTCCTCTGGTGGTTTCATTTTGACCCATACCCCAAATTGGGTGTGATGGATTTTTGGGGAGTTGAAGGTGTTAACCTTGAGAGAGCCAACCAAGTCACCAAAATGGACATGCAGAGCAGCGTTTGGCTGCATTGCTTGACCAGACTCTCCGGCGAATGTCCTCGGCATACCCTTCTCGGTACTGGTACCTTTGCTTCCCAACTTGTTGGGAAACTCTACCCTCTGCGATACGCAAGCCAGAAATTTCAGCCAGACCTTGTCTGGGGATCCCTCGAAATGGCTCGTGAGTTGCCCCTCTTGACACCTCTGAAAGGACTGAGAGACCACGGGCGCTTTTCCTGTCCCATGTCCACAGAAAAAGACACGGACTATTCTTGGCACTCAGAACCTCGGGCATGGTGGTTGTCAAAACCAATGAGATCCCATTGTGGGGTCTATTTTAGTGATTGGATTGGGATGTTCACTGGGGGCTAACCGGGATTTTGACCCGTGGCCACATTTACATCATCTCTGTTTGTGGCTTCCGCACGTGTCCTGCAATTTCTGCTTCAACCCGCTCTGAGGTCTAGCTCGCGACGACCCTCTTGGACAGAGCGGAGTCTTGTTTCAGCTTGATGAATTTGAACAGACCTCCAAAATGCTTGGACATGAAGCCCCTAAAATTGTCAAGGGTCTCATTCTCATACCCCATACAGATCCCTTCAAATCGCGAGGAAGTGGCAGAATCTGCGACACTCATTGGTCCAGGCCTTAGATGGCCCGATCCATGGGCGTTTTTGTCTTTGAGGGCAACCTTTCAAAAACCACTTGAGCTACAATCAAAACTCGGGTAGATGAAGGTTAGTAAGGGGCAGTCCCAGCCAGAAATAGTTGCGACCGCCTTCTTAATTCTTTACATGGTTCTGGGTAGACCATTTTAATACCGGGTTTTGATTGTGACTCACTTGGTTTAGGAAGCAGGACAACCGCCAAACATATTGCCTTCGCATCGAGTCGCAAAGAGGAAGCCTTGCAGGCAAGGCAAGATCCAGATGCGAAGGACTTCAAGAACGTGGTGGTGGCCGAACCGACGCCACTGGTCAGAGCCTGAGGTTTCATGAACATAGGTGTCCTTTCTAGGTGAGATTGGTTAAACATAGATGTCTTCCACTGGTTTAGATGGTTTGTTTCATTTACCAGGGAAACCCATCTATTTTGCCAAAAGGCCACCTATGTTCATGCACAGCTCAGTGATCTTGAGAATTAACATCTCACAGTGGGTGACTCGTCCCTAGAGTTCGAGAAACATATTGCAGGCGAAATGGTCGTGAGTTTCAATGGGCAGCACTTCAACATGTCAAACATGGTGGACATGGAATCACATCTTTGCACGGCCCAGAAATTCACACTTAGTTTTGCAGCCCCAGTAGCTTTGTTTCAAAACGTCCATTTCAAGGGCGAGCTCTTCAGCGCCCAATGCGAGCAGAAACATCTGCGAGAAGAGTCGCTGGGCTCAGGCGAGCAGCAGTTCGGCCAGACGCATTCCTGCCTTGTCCCGATTTCACACCTGGTGGCCGGGCAGGACATGGTTGTGGCTCAGGAAACGTGCCAAAATGGCTCCTTGGTGAATGGAACCAAGACTAAAACCTGCGTAACCCTAGCTCTTTTTGAGCCGCATCCACAGGAGAAATGAATGAAACACAAGCTCGAGACAGAACCTGATAGAAGCGACGAACCCGAATGCAAAAGATGGCAACTTGGGAATGTGCATTTCGCCAACTCGAGCAATGTTGTCCAGCTGGAGCCATGCTTTGAAGAAACGCTTCTAAGCTTCTCACCGACACCTCTAAAGATTCTTCAACTTTGCGAGACCTTCTGAGCAAGAGCTTGAGCGACACTTCTGAGCGACAACTTGAGCGACACTTCTGAACACAGTTACAAAAACTATTTCGAATTCCGCTCCTCAGCGACACCTCTGATTGACACATCCAATGCGTCAAGCCCCAATCCTGAAGCCGTAATTCTGAGCGACAACGGCAACATCACACAGCGACACTTCTGAGCAACGCTAGCGACGCGGTTGCACACACTCACACAGACATGGCGACGCTTCTGAGCGTCACTCCTCAGCAACAGTTTGGGCGACATTTCTACACATATTTGAGCGACACTTTTGAGCGGCACTCCTGAGCGACATTTCTGAGCGACACCTCTGAGCAACACTTCCTTGCGAGCAACGCTTCTGAGCGATACTTCTGAGCGACACAGCTGACAACACCTCTGAGAGACACTTCTGAGCCACATGCGCTTCTACGCGCACATCAGCAACGCTTCTGGGCGACATTCCCAAGCGACGATTCGAGCGACACTTCTGCACACACACACACATATCTGAGCAACACTGCTGAGCGACACTTCTGAGCGACGCTTCTGAGCAACACATCTGATCAGCGCTTCTGATCAATACTTCTGATCAACACTTCTGAGCAACACTTCTGAGCGATTCAACTTCAGTTTTAGATCTTTTAAGTTGGTGTCCATTTGCTGTTTAAGAATATGTGTTTTAAATTTTCCCTTGTTGGCTTTAAAGGGAATCTATCACTACTGGACAAATATGTTCCCATTTTGTCCAGTGAGCGAAAACGCAAATGGAAGAACATGTTGAGATGTGGGGAGAAGCGTCAAAGTAGGGGGATGCTTGGAATGAGGTTCCTTTAAGCCAAGGGGACCAGGGCGCCCTCAAACTGGGTCACTCAAGGGCCGTTGCCATCCAGGAGACGTCAATGCAACTGGTGCAGCGAATAGTGCATATGCTGAGACTCATGGATTTTTTCCCATGCCGGCACCGCGCGCGAGCCGCGGCGCCTTGGCAGTCTGTTTGAATTGATTTGATTTGATTGTATGGACTTTGGGCTGATGGCCAGAAATGTTAAGACCTCGTGGGGTCGACTATGTCCATGCCTGGGACAGGCAGCCTGTGCTTGCTGCACAGTTTGATGGAAAGTTTTGTGAGGGTTTTTGACACGCTGACCCAGAGCTGCAAAGCATGCTTCTGGGCTCAGCACTGAGCTAGCAGCCGGGGCATCGATACGATGCATTTTTTGGAGCAGTGTCCGCAAGGATCGCAAGGAACACGTGCATTTGATGAACGGGTTCCAGCTTGCGAAGGACAGTCATGTGTAGCATCCTAGAATCCATGTTTTTGAACCCATTTAGTGTCATCCAAATCTGAGAATTATCATACAGCCTTTTTCCCCTTGTGTATTTCGAACTGCTCAAAACATTTGGCCTGCCTCACGTGTCAGCTGTTGTGCATCACGTGGCCCCTGTTGGGCCGCCATCCTGAGTGGAAGATGAATGAAGGAGGATGGCTTACCACGCCCGAGCCATTATCGGTGTCAACCGAAGGTTGGGATGTGTCTTTTTTTTTCAAGTCAACCTGATCTGGGAGCAGACTCTGGCTGACAGTTCCTAATCACTTGAGTGACGCTGAGGGGTCAAGCAACTATCCTTGGACGTGTTCATGGGGCCTTGGGTGAAGATGACTCGTGTTGTTCTCCCGGCAGCCCCTCAGCTCGCCAATCCATGCCATTCTTGCAACCTCGGGATGCCACTAGGAGGAACCGTTTGTGCTTGACGGATCTTTATGTGTGTGCGTGGTGCGCGAGCCAGCACGCGCGCGTGCCGTTTGGGAGGGAGGGGACACGTGCATGGAGTGCAATCAAGATAATGTTGTGTAAGCCAATAGAGTGTAGTGTTTTGTAGTGAAGTGTGGTGTAGTGCAATGCAGCGTAGAGTGTGTGTGTGTGTGTGTGTGTGTGTGTGTGTTTGTCGCGTAATGTACTGCAATGCAATGGAACATGGTGTAGTGCAAAGCGAGGTAGGAACACCCCCCCCCCAGCAGGGCCATGACACCTAGGTTGAGATTGCGGTGTTGCAAGTACTTGCCGTAGCTCATGCCATGCAGCTTGTGTTATGTTCTGCCGTCCAATATAATGCTATTTAGTTTATAGCAAAGGAGGGCAATCTTGTCATTTCATATGGTGTCATGTAGTGCAGCATAGTGTGTCATGTTTTTGTTGTTGTTGTTGTTGTTGTTGTTGTTGTTGTTGTTGTTGTTGTTGTTGTTGTTGTTGTTGTTGTTGTTGTTGTTGTTGTTGTTGTTGTTGTTGTTGTTGTTGTTGTTGTTGTTGTTGTTGTTGTTGTTGTTGTTGTTGTTGTTGTTGTTGTTTGTTGTTGTTGTTGTTGTTGTTGTTGTTGTTGTTGTTGTTGTTGTTGTTGTTGTTGTTGTTGTTGTTGTTGTTGTTGTTGTTGTTGTTGTTGTTGTTGTAAAAACGAGGAAAACAAAAACAAGCACAACAAACAAGAGTGGTTGTGTCTATTGTGATACGTAAGGCAAATGTCCATGTGACATCGTTTGGCCAGGTTTGGTCTTTTGCCTCAGGTCCAGGGGTTCGGAAGCTCTGAGAGCCCCAGTTGGTTTTGGGTTGGTGGTTTTTTTAGGGGATTTGAACTGGTTGTAGGGGGCAAGTGGGACACCCAGTAGAATCCCTGAACCACCAAACCACCACTCCAACCACTTGGAAGGAAGCTGAACCTGCGCAATTTCTTGGGTTCGGACCAGCTTGCCAGGCAACGCAGGGCTTCGCTTTGTTTGCGCTGACCATGGCTTCGGTGCACTGCAGATCATTTTCCACGCCGGGGCCTATGACCTCAAAGCCGTCACGGTTTGCATGAAAGGGCAGCCGATGCCTAAAACGGTTGCTGAACTGCATGCGCGAGGTGAGCGATCAATGGGATTGCATGATGTTCAAGTTGTTCATTGAAATGGGTAGTTTCCTTTGATTCCTGCAAAGAAACCAGTGACACCGATTGCCGGAGTTGCTGGCTGTATGCAGCGGATTGAATGTCTTTATGACGCAGCTTGACCCATTGACTGAGGCCAAAGGCACTATGTGGCCTTTGCATGCTGGCCATGCTGCAAGATGGGCCAGAGTCTTAAGTTCAGGGCACCTTGTTGAAATATGACTCTCTTTTGTCAGTAGGCAAGGCTACAATGACCCGAGTTTCATGAACCTGTCCTGTAGCTATTGATCAACCAGCATTGATTCAGCTGGGTTCCCAACCAACTGGGTGACGGAAAGTACGAGCAAGGCGGCGAATGCGACGGCGACGCCGGAGGCAGAGGCTGATGAGTGCAGATGAATCCTGACTTCACATCCACGTCCTGATTTCGAGCCATGTTTCCTTGAAAGCGACGCTGTGGGTACGATGGAAGACCTCAAATAGAACCAGGAAGCTTAAAATGGGCCCTGAAAGCCGTGAGTTTGGCGATGTAGTTGTCGTAGACAGGAAATGGTTAGGAAAGAGAGTTCACTTCTTCATCCTTTCCTAGCACTTTCATATCCTCACTGTATCTGATAAAGAAAGAAAGGATGATAAGAGAGAAGGGAACTACATGGCGGGAAATCCACCAATGTGTTGCCTAGCACCACAACGCCCGACTGGGTGTCATTTTTTGAGGGAGACGCCAAAACTGGCGGTTTTCCTTCAGGTTTCCCTGAAACTCCTCAAACATCAGCCAAAAGAGGGTTGCCCCAAAAACCCAGCCAAAGTTCATACCATGCAGAGTCTGGGTTTGTCTCCAAGGAAAATCCCAAATGGGCTCCGGCTTCGCTGTTGAATCACAAGAGTTTCCGGTCAAACGAAGACGCATTCATACTGTTTCTCACTTGCCCGAAGCAAAACATATACAACCTTTTCACCGTTTGGTTTCCCTGATATCCATATGACCCCAAAAGGCCAATGCTTTTATTTCTCGGTTCTTTGGGCAGATTGAGCACTGATTGCGCCGGCCATTTTTGCACTGAGCTAGGCGAAGCAGCGGGTGGAGGCCTATGCGATGGCGGCCTTGACGGCATCGCAGGGCCCCCGGAAAAGAAGTTCGCCGGGTTGGGTGAAACTATAGCTAGGTCCCCCAGTGCCCTTCTCTCCCCATTTTTGGCGGGAGTGTTCCCCTAAATAGACTACAGAAAAAAGTTTGGTACTCTTATTCTAACCTCGACCTAGATAGAAACATTGTAAGAGTCAAGCCGCCACAAATTTTAGTCCTTGGTTCCGTTTGCCAGGGTTTCATGTTGGGTACATAGAATATATATATATATATATATATATTTGACCCACAGCCATTTCTGAACAATGAAGGATTTGTTTGGGTCGTTCTTTTCACCGCGAAAGGCTGGGAAGGCACGCACAAGTTACGCAACCGATAGGCTATAGCTCGCGAAAGGGCAAAGGACACCTAAGACACAAGGAAGTTACAAAAGACACAGAAATGAAACATACCACACACGAAAGATGGGCACGGCATAACACACACAAACACACAACTTGGCGGGCTTTCTTCTGAGGGCCGCGTGCTCCAAGCCCGCCTGGCCACCGTGGCCCCATTTTTCCAGGTCCCGGCCCTCCGAGGCGCTCTTGGGAGACGCGCTTGCTGCCAGGAATCGGAAGGGAAGGGCGTTTGTCCAACGTGGAGGCGCTTGCTTCTGACAGCGAGCAAAGCCTGCGCGTCTTGTCCTCGCCATATGGAGGCTTCCTCACTTGAGCCCCTTGCTTCTGCTGCTTCTGTATCAATCCAGCCTGTTCCTTCAATGCCTGGAATCTCCTCTGTCCTCAAGATCTGTCAGTCAAAAGCTTGAATCGCCGCTGGAAGCCCTTGACTGTCGCATGGTGCCCCGGCTAGCGACCCGCACTCGAATCGCTCAAAAAAAATCCCAAATGAAGAGCCCAAAAAGGGGAGCACTATGGCCCCAAGGGTAGATGGAAAGCAACGTGGTCGGATGATCGGGGAAATCAGAAAGGGTACCATCATCTATGTATCAATGCTGAGTGAGCAAAGGGTGCCGAATGCAAGATGTTTTGCTCACACTTCCTCAGTTTCTGGACTAAGTTTTTGGTTAGAGATAGTGGTGAACAAAATTCTGGACTTCTGACCAATCCACTGGGAAAGTGCGTTGATTTCGTTTTCCAAGGGGGAAACGCTCAGTGAACCAAGGTCCTCCGCTCGGATCGGCGAGGCGGAGTTCCTGCTAGGCCGGCGCGATCCGCGATCCGCGCCGGATCGGCGATCCGGTGAAGCGAAGCCACGCCCACAAAACCTCGGGCTGCGCTAAATGGGGGGTGATCAAAAGGTTTTGATGGGGCGACCATGAGCGACACCTTCCAAAAAGGATTTAATTGATTTTCACCGCATGGGAAAAGTTGCCCGTGGTTTGTTTGGGGCCAGGAATATGGATCAACACCCAAAGGCTACGTTGCAGGGTTTGCCTGGTTCCCCACCTGTCCCAAGGCAGGCGTGTTCGAGATGTGTGCCCCTGGTAGGGGGGGCCAGCCGCGATGCAGATCCTGGAGACGAGACGAGTGTGCAGGACTAAGAATTGTAGTCCCGAATCTTCCATTTGGTTAAGAATATGTTTGATTTTCCCCTGTTGATTTTAACGGTCCCGAATGTGAGTTGCACCGAAAAGGGCCACATGGCCATCAAGCATACTGGGGACCAACCTCCGAAATGGACATAAAAGGTTCCAAGTGACGAGGAGTCGAGCCTTTTTGGTTGCTTTTGGTGTTGGGATTCCGTCTCCCATTTTGAGACTGCCTTTGGCGCCCAGGTGTCCGATAGGGGCCCGGAGGTGGCCCATTTCTTGGCCACGCTAAGGCCGGACGTGCGGATGGTATTCCTAGGGGCCCTCAAGCGCCTTCCTACCCACTTAGTTCAGTGGTACCCCTCCCTTGTTCTTTCGCGGGTTTTCGGGCAACACCAAAATATCAAATTCCCCGGCTGCATGAAAGCTTTGGGGTCTTTGCTCCGGAACTGTCCGGAGCTGGGGATATCACCAGTGCTTTTATTTCCCTTTAAACCAAGAGAACACCAACATGTTTTTGGGGTCAAACAAAAGGACACCCGCACATACCGACGGATTAAATCCAGGGGGCACTAGTTGGCAGGTGAAGAATCCCAGCAACATGGGGTTTCATTCATTTGGTGCAGGAGTGTTGTTCATCCACAGTGTTGAATGAGGAACACCCTCAAAACCGGCTGTGAGGGGGACCGTTCAGCGGGTTCCAATCCATGATTAAGGATTGGTTTACATCATCAGTTGGACTTGTCTTTTGTTGAGAGCACCCCTTTCGAGGTTCGAATTCCAATGTAAATGATGTCTGCCAAAGGCCCCGGGCCTACTTAAAATGCATTCCATGACCTTGGAGCCAGGCTTCCGGCAGAAGCGCGCAGTCAAGTGCCGAGCCCAAAAAGAAGAAGTGCAAATTGTCACAGTCACCCGTTTTCCTTTTCCGATTGCTCACTGCGCCTGCATTGTTGATTCTGTAAATATCTCAACTTGAAGCCATCTCCTGTCATTCACGCTGCCTGCTTACAAATGGGTATGTTTTTCAAGATGGGGGAAACAACTCCGAACTTGGGTGAATCAATTAACAACTCCAACAACTCCGAACCATCAATCAACAAACGGACTTTCCTTTTGGGTTCCTTTTTACTTCAGCTCCGAACTCGCCGAGCCTGGCTGGCCTTGGTTTTGGGAGCCCGACGTGAGTCGGTATCTCTAGGCCCGCACGTCCACGGCGGGCCTTGTCAGCGCCCGGCGCACGGATTTTTGTTGCTTTGTGGTTGAAGCGAGGAGAAGAGGAGTGAATGTTTTTTTTGGTTGATGTGTTTTTGTTTGGTTCTTGGTTCTTTGGTGTGGAGTGATTTTGGAAGAGGTGTGGTTTTTTGGTTGATGCGACATGTGTGGTTTCTTTGTTCTTTTGTGTGGAGTGATTTTGGAAGAGGTGCTCTTTTGTGTGCCGTTGTGTGTCAGCTCTGCAAGCAAGATGGAGGCTTGCCTCGTTGCGCGCTCGCAAGGCTGCATCGCACCCGTCAAAGTCCCTGTTTGCGGCAGCTACCGAGGCAGGGGCCGAGTGAGGAAAGTTTGCGCGTAGGGCTGCAGTCATTATGGGATCACCATTGCTTTGCGAGTTTGGCTTTGATCTCGTATTGCTTGGCTGTTTCTGCGAGGGATAGCTTCAGTGTGTTGGCAATCAATCAGCATAGGCACAAGGAGACGTTGACTTTAGATCAATCCGCGGAACCCCAAAGAATCCGGCGCTGACCCGCATGACTCTGAAGTTGACATTACGCTTGAGGACGGCACCATCCAGCTTTGGTCTTTCAACCAGCGACTTCTGCGACAATTGTCCCGCCCTCAACATCTTGGCAAACATATTGCAACTTGCCAGCCATCCTGCCAGCACGACCAGTGAAAGCTACTGAGTGCTCGGGTGCTCCACTTGGCAGAATCTTTGTTCGCAAGGGCTGCAAAGGGCAAAAGCAAACGGATCTGAAAGTCGAACACTTTGGAAAGCATCAGCCAGAAATACCGAGGCCGCGCCCTGTGGTCGCAGACTTAACTCTGTCAATTATCCGCGTACGCTGCGCATGTGGGTGATCATTTGAGTCGGAAAAAGAAACCCGTTGTATGTGTCAATGTCAGGCATGCTCCCAGGTCTTTTGGACCTATCAAATTAGCTGCACCGCCGCTTGTAATTTGAATGGCAGGAGTGTGTTGCAGGAGCGGCCGCGCAAGTCAAACATGGGGCCGCGCAAGTAAAGCGCAAGTGAAGCGCAAGTGACGCAGTGATGATCATCATCATCATCATCATCATCATCATCATCATCATCATCATCATCATCATCATCATCATCATCATCATCATCATCATCATCCGCATGGTCGAAAGAATCCGGAAGATTGCTGAATTTTCGCGCAAGTCGCGCGCAAGTCGCGCGCAAGTCGCGCGCAAGTCGTAGATGCCTTGTATCAGGAGTGGCCCATTTCTGTAGTTTGCATTTTCTTTGTTTCTGCAGATCCCAGCAACGAGTTGCAGCAGCAGCCAGCAGCAGCAGCAGCAGCAGCAGCAGCAGCAGCAGCAGCAGCAGCAGCAGCAGCAGCAGCAGCAGCAGCCAGCAGCAGCAGCCGCAGCAGCAGCAGCAGCAGCCAGCAGCAGCCGCAGCAGCCAGCAGCAGCAGCAGCAGCCAGCAGCAGCCAGCAGCCAGCAGCAGCAGCAGCAGCAGCCAGCAGCAGCAGCAGCCAGCAGCAGCAGCCGCAGCAGCAGTAGCAGCAGCAGCAGCCAGCAGCAGCAGCCGCAGCAGCAGCAGCCGCAGCAGCCAGCAGCAGCAGCCAGCAACAATTTGCAGCGGTGTACACACCTGAGACCTCATACACTTAAGGGGCATGTTTTTGGGGGACCTCACTCTTATGAAGACCGCCGCTTGGATTTGCAATGAAAACATCCTGGGATAAGAGTTTTAATACGGGTTTTTTTTCCAGTTCATTTGCTTATGGCGCGTATCGTTTGTTTTTTCTTCTTTTTTTTTTTTCTCGGGTCTTGCGAGGTGTTTTGAAGGGAAACCAAAAAGCAACCAGACTATTGTGGGGTTCCAGCAATTCCACTCGTAGGAGTCTCGTAGGGCTTGTGGCTTTAAATCGATTTACAGGTGCTGCTCAAAGATGGGTCCTCTTTTTGTGGCTTTAAAGGGACACTAACAGAAATACCGACATTTTTGGGGTCCAAATCCTGAAAGAAGACCCACAAAATGGAGGTTTTCGGGCCAGAGACCCGTTCAAAAGATGCGCGCTTTGCTCTAAGTCCAAGCGCCGGCAGCGACCAGGTGGGGTGGCAGGTGTGGTACCAAAGCGGATGCTGACCTGGGCCATAGATCTTTGGGTATGAGTTAAAATGAAACCACCAGGGGACAGCGGAATTGAGACAAGTTTTCCATTTAGCAGGGTCCAGGTCGGGTACCTATTTTTGACCCGCACCCGTTTAGACAAAGTGTGCTGTCCAGGTCTCGTGCGTCAGCTTCTGCTTGAGCCATATAAAAGCCGAATCCGTAGATTGAGAAAAAGATCGCCACACACATGGGCGTGTCATTCTTCTCGGATTTGGGCCCCCCAAATCATGGTGTTTTCCTCTTGGTGTCCCTTCCAAGCCGCCGAAAAGGGGTACCAACTCAACAAAAAAGCGAGCCGCCCACCGTTGCTAGGTGATGAGCCTGCCAGCGAGGCCACGTCAATGCCGTGTGTTTTTTTCAGGGCCAAGGAGCTGAAGCCGGTTCTTTACTCACGGAGGCGTAGTTGTTGTTTCTTCAATTTCCTCAAAATTTCTGGGTAGATGAAGCTTAGTAAGGGAAAACAATCCCCTGGAGGTGTTGCATTCGTGGTTCGGGGTAGACCGTTTTGATGCCAGAGCCTACGAACGAGCTGTTCCATGTGGCGTTTTTTCACAGAGCCTCAAGTATCCAATGCGAAAGTACTGAACTGTTCGGAACAGGCAGCACGCATGCGACTTGAGCCACTGGTCAGGCTGCTACCTCTGGAGCATGGCGTTTAGCCTGAACCCCAGCGCCCCAATGGCTTGGGCCAGCCCATGTGAATGTTGGCAAGGAACAGTCGACACAAATTTGTGGGTGCGGAGATCCGCCTTTTTGCTTCACATGGCTTTGGGTAGACCGCTGTAGCGGCTCACCTGGAGTACGAGAGCCCGGCTTTTTGTGGTTTCAGAGTTTGGATGTCGACGCACATTACGGGCTAGGATCTCTTGCCAACTGCCAGGCGTGGAATACGCCCGGCAATCGCTTGCTGGCCGCCCTGTGCTGAGTGATTGGATGCCAGCACCACAAAGAAAGCTGTCTTCTGGAAGGCAACTTTGTGAACAAGCTGCAACGAGCAACAAACAACTTGCGCACTGTTTAGCTTGTTACTTGAGACATGTGGCGGATTGAACCCACTTGGGTATGGGTCAAAATTATGAGTCCATTTACATCCATTTACCAGGGTACCGATTTTTGACCCACAGAGCCACTGTACCTTTGAGCATTCGCGAGGTGCAGAGCGGCGGGAAGACTTCGGTGAACCTTTGGGCCTTGGAAGGCGGATTTTCGAAGCAGTTCACACGCAGCGCTTCTGGGTGTGCCGGACGGGCAGAGGGCTCGGCATTTGTAGGAGACCAGCCTGGCGTTGCCTACACGCTCTGCACAGGTGCGGACGTTGTTTGCTGTACGCGAGGTATGGATTGGTCAACAGGTTTGGGAACTTAGGAACTTGGCAGCATAGACTCATCACTTGCATCTTAGGGGCACAGCATCACATTGATTATTGTTGCATCGCGCTCATTCTGGCTCCAGCGGCATTCGACAGACAGCAGATCATGTTGGTTCTATAGTGCCTACTTTCCTTCAGCTCGCAATAATTTTGATTCCGAGTCAGCAGTGCAAATATTTTGCGTAGTTCAACACTGCTCATTTTAGCTTGCCTTTTGACTTAGATAGTTTCTTTGAGCACCTAGTGCATCCCAAGCCGGCCATTTGCAAAAGCAATGGCCCTGTTTGCGACACTTGATTGCATGCGAATCTGTCCAAGAAGATAGGTGCACAAATGGGGCTGCCTTTTTGGGAATCAAAAGAACACCACGTTCGGTATGTCCCCCTGCAAGACACACCCAAATGCCTTACTCGGCAGGCCCTGGTTCGGGAATGTATTTGACCAAATTGCTCAAGCTGCCTCAAGCGCGCGAGGAATGGCCCGCCAAGCATCCGATTGTCTCCTCCAACTCACCGAGAGGCTTGGAGAACTGCACTGAAAATTGCTTTCGCATTGAAACCCCGACCTCCAGTGCCTCTTCTTCTTTGCTTCTTTTGGAGGGAGGCTTCCCTTTGAAGCCAACTACCAAAGGGCGCGCAAGGCTGTGTGCAAGTGGCCCAGGGCGATCGATCCAAGTTCCGTGGAGAATCTCCAGTTCGCTCACCAGGCCAGAGCGAAAGACACAGGTTCCACCGGAGGGCTGCCGATAAAACCCGCACCTTGTTGCATTTGTTCTTTTGTTTTTAGCAGCATATTTGTTTTGGGGGGAATCCCGTTCAAGTCGGCTTTAAGCAGCATAATTTTTGTTGGGGAACTCCGTTTCAAGTCATGCTCCCCTTGGGGTGATGGAGGAAATGCGGCTGGAACCTTTGCAGAGCCCATCCACTCGCGTGCCGCGAGAGACCGAGAGTCCGGATCGGCAACAAGAGAGGTTCCACTGCTGCGCCGGATGCCGGGGAGACTCCCTCCTCAGGCGGGGTCCTGGGAACCCATGTTGGGTCCCCCCCAATTTTGACATATGGTGGACGAGATTTCGTGCACCTAAGAAACCCTGGAATGATTCGATTTGCCTGTAAATACCAACAAACAACGGTGTCCATTGTTTCAAAGTGGGGCTGGAGCATGTTGCAAAAAAACGAGCATGCCTCAAAAAATGTCGAGCCTCAAGACATTCTTCGCTCAAATTACCCCGTTAGGCATGAGCCCTATGACATCACCTGGTGGTGCCACGTGGCGAAGGCGTGAGGATGGGAGATTTCCTCGAACATGAAGCTTAAGACCACGTGACCACGTGGCCACGTGGTGAAAGCGGATGTTGGCTTCTTCTCGTTTTGGCAACGCCCTTGGTGAAGAGGTCTCACAGACTGTTTTGCACCCACCACCAAAACCGATAAACCAAGTTATTCGAAGCCCACAAGCCGGCCGACTCCTTCACATCTCCTTCGCTTTCTGGCTACGGATCTTTGGACTTTTTGGTTGAAACAGCTGAGATTTTCCGAATTGGACCCACAACACATGAAGACTGTTTTGCAGAGGGGCTGTTACAGCAAGGCCGCGAGAGGCTTCGATCGGCTGGCATCGTAGGCCTTCGGTGACTGTGGATCTGAATGCCGGCGCATCCGCGCCCATTGCCGAGCCCATCGCGGAGCCCATTGCGGAGCCCCTTGCAGGCGTGGAAAGTGGTGGAATCCAAAAGACGGGCTGAGTCATGCTCAGGCGGGTAAGTGAAGTTTGGTAAGGGACATGTAGGGGACACTCCCAGCCGGACATAGGCTGCTCTTGTTGTTGGGTAGCCCGGAGACGCCTTTAATACCATATTTTCATTGTGACTCTAGGATAGGCATGCACCCTGAACTGTAAAGCGGCATATCAAGGTGACGCTGGTAAGCTGGCATGTTTGACCCGGACAGATGAAAGACATGTTGCACTGTTTTGGTGGGCCCACACATCATTTGTTATACTTGAATGTTTCATCTTGAAGCCTGGAGAAGGCGTGATAGGCTGCCAAGTAGCCTACTTCAGGCGATGTTTCCTCGCACTGGAGCCACTCTCAGGACCGACAAGCGACTCAAACGAAGAAGAGGCTTGAAGCATTTCGTCTGTCGGCAAGGACCAAGCCCTTCATGTGGATCTCCGGGAGTCTTTGGACACTCGCCTCAGGGACAAGAATGCCGGGCTCCTGTCGCGCGATGCCCTTTATGCAAGTTTTGGCATCATGAATTTGTGATGTCTCCAAATTCCGGTGTGCAGGGCTTCATGGATTTATGCAGTGGTTTCGGGCCGTGGCTTCGACACAGAAAACAAATGCACTCCGAAGATGCTCTCACTTGCGTTCTGTAGATGGTAGCTGCAGTCGGGGGTTTTCCCCCAACGCATCTCTGATGCTTGGGTTCTGCTTACGGTTGTGACAGGGTGCGAGACGGGTCCTCCGAGAGGGAAACGAGGGGCCGAAACATGGGCTGGCGGAGGGCTGAGATTTTGGAGAGGCACTCGACGGGTTTTGGGAGGCATGAAGCATGAGTTGCGTGAGCGGTGGATTTGCCCTTCATGAATGTGTTTATATTGTATTACTAAATATCATATATAAGGAAAGACGCAATGCAAGGGCCCCTGGCTTCTTTCAATCAACCAGTACTCTAGGCCCCAAGTTCGGCTTTCGTGCTTGCATGTCACCCGAGGGTGGGCTTGTGTCACGCCGAAACGGGCTTGGCGGGGGTTTTTGGGCTCCACTCTAGCTCTCTTTCTGGGGGCGGGGGGTAGGCAATTGAGGATTTCGAAGAGGCTGTGGCCTGCGAAAAGGAAGCCCCACGCACCCGCCAAGCAAGTCTACTGAAACACCAAACTCGGGGGGGGGGGTTCGCCTCACGCTTCGTCTTCATTTGCGGCCAATCCGTCGGAGGCACCGCAAGCGTAGGCACCGGCAGCGCAAGCATGCATAGGCACCTTTCCACAGTGGCACACCCGCGGCGTCGCGCAGGCATGGCGTCCAGCGAGGCACAATCAAAGAAAAGTTTATTCAATCGAATAATGTCCACCTCTGACCTCCCCCCCCAAACAACTGAGGTCCATTTGGGGAACATTGGGTGGACATTAGAATGGCCATGTGCGCTGTGGCGTACGCTGAGGTCTTTGGCCTGGCACCGCGTTCAGAGGCGGGGTGTTTGGGCGAGCCTCGGTCCGGGTTTCCAGGCTTTGGACGGGGCCAGTCCGAACTGTGCCAAGTTGTGCCAAGTTGTGCCAAGTTTGCAGTGTCCTGGCTGCCCAGGAGATGGCACAGACCTTGGAGCGATTGTGTGTTTGAGTGCCGTTTGCACGTGTTTCGGAATGTCGCGCAAAAACAAACGCGGCAGTCTGTGCCAAATGTCACTCAGGCCGAATCACAGATGCGCAGCCACCATGCATTGGCCGCGGAGATTTTGGCTATGGATGAAGCTGCTTGGATGCATTTTGAAACGAGAAGCGCTTGCAGTCCCCCGCGCATGGGTGGCCGTGTCTCAAAGCTACCCTTCCCCCCCCCAACCTCTGAAGCAGACATATTCCCCTGAATCGTAGGTTTTGCGCCACATCTACGGCTGCCCGATGAACAGCTTGAGTGCGTTTGGGAGTTGTTGATTGCCCCGTTGCTCCTGTGGGGTGCTGCTTAGCGCTGGGTGGGCCAAAACAAAGTGAGAGCTTGGCTTAAAGGAAAACCAAAAGGAAATCCGCCACAATTTGGGCACGTGCAAACCTACTGTGGATGGACGAAATCCTGCACCGCCAGGTTTCCAAGTGGTGCAGGATTTCGTTCACCCTGGTACTTTCGCCTACTCTCTCCCAGCTGAGGGGATGGACGAACTAGTACGCCGCCATGAAGCGAGGATGGAGAGGCGCGAGGGTGAAACGGGTGCGCCCTGAGAGAGGTTTCCCATTGACACATCCACCAAATCCCCACCGTTTACTGTTTTGTTTTTTGTTTTTGTAGAGCTCACCAGTTAATTTTCCACTCTTTAGTGTAACTTGGAAGAATCACCAGTCCAATCCCCCGGTGTAACTTTGAAGAATCAGAGCAACTTTGAGTCAGGAGTTGACGTACCCCAAGTGGATATCGGGAGTGGAAGAAACATTCCAGGAGCATTGGCATGAGCTTGCGTCCAAAGGCTTTGCAGCCTTGGTAAATATGTAGCTATGAACATGAATGAGTCAAATACTCTCCCAAATGGTGGGCATGAACAAAGCGAAATTTGATGTCCACCAATTCGGATTCCCGAAATGGTCAAATCCGTGTTGCCATTCTCGCAGGATCTACAAGCTGCAGCACGAGATGGTTGATAAGGAGATTGCGCGCGCGTGGCTGTAGGGAAATCAGAGGGTACTTCACTTCGAACGTGTTGGAAGAAATGGGCGTGCCTTGTTTTGAAGGTGCCCGTGTTTGGTGGTATAGGGAAACCAAGAGGAACGCAACCCATTTTGGAGGTTCCCTTTAACAAAAACAGGAGACCAACTGGGTATGGGTCAAGATTGAACCACCAGGAATCGGACCGCTGGTTTTGGTCCATGTTTCCATATAGCATTCAGTTTTGGGTATACATATTTTTGACCAGCCAAATGGCACCTGCATTTTTCTCACATTTCGGAGGACTTGGAGATCGCCTCCTTGAGGCATGCCCTGCAAGAGGCAAAGCAAGCCACCAGAGACGTAGAGGCGCGCCTTCGACCGACTCGCCATGTGCTCAAAACCGATTCGGGTAAGGGAAGGTTGGTAAGAGAATCCCCTTGCCAATAAATGGGTGCGGGTATCTTCATTCTTTCACATAGTTCTGGAAAGACTATTTTGGTACCAGCTCTGAGTATGACTCGTGCATTTCTCTGCGCGGGTTCTCTACTGCGGCAGTGAAGACGGCGACTTCGCCAGGCGAAGC